TCTTAGCCCTTGTCTGTCAAGTGCACTTTGCTGACCATCAGGGTGAATGGCAGAGGGATTTGAGCATTCAGAGCAAGCCAGTCACAAAACAGATGTGCTACTTTAGCAATAGGCAGCAGTGATGCTGGCATGCTGGCATTTTAATGAGATGGATGTTAAATATATTTTTTCAATTCAATTATTACCAAAAAAAATTGAACATAGGCATACTTTTTCTGCTTTGTTAAATACAAAAGATTTAATCTTCAGAGTAACAAGACTTTGAAATATCCAAAAATAAAAAATCCATTTTTATCTCAGAGCACTACTGAACAAGGCATGTGACCTGGCCTCCTGTCACACATTGATTTTCAGAGTTTGAGAAAATTATCCGAAAGGGGGAAAAAACCCCATCATACTGAGGTGGTGGTGATAAGACACGACCTTTTGAAAGACTGAAATGATATTACAGCATAAAGACACATGAGGGCACTCTAATCACCCAGCAAAGAGAAACAGGAAAGTGAAATCAGGTTGACATTTTAACAATAGTACTGCATTAGGTGAATTACATACTGGTAAAACTGAATGTTTGTCATTTATAGCAAGAGATTTTCTGTTCCTGATCCAAACCCTAAGAAGCCAAAAAGATTCTGCAATTCTGTAAATTGGAGAAATAAGTCATCACTCTCCAAGGTGAGGATTAACCACACCCCTTTCTAATGATTTGTTCCATTGACTTTGGGGCATGATCTGCTCCTTTCCAGAAAAGATCTATGTAATCTACAAGTCCACTTGGTGTTTTAGTTGTCGTCCACTGGGAACAGTCCATGAATCTGTTTCTCTGCTCCATCTGTTTTTCTAGGAGAAATGGCGAGTTAAAAGTTTGAGGCTCCCCCAACAGCCAGCAGTAATGAAACAGCATTTTTGTTCAAAGGAGCAGAGACAACTGCAGAATATGCCTCATGGTCTTCTTGAGTTTTTAAATATGTAAATACAACTAGAGCATATAATTTCCCCCAGCAAATTTAAAAAGTATAGCATACCGAGCATTTAAATGACCTTTCTTTCAGACCTTTAACAAGAGAGCAACAATGGCCACAGAGAGCCATGGAGTCCGAAGCAACAGGTGGATCCCTAAGGCTTATCATTAAAGCCACATTCAAATTTGTGCCTCAGCAAAATTACAAATACTTCCCAGTCATCTATCTTTGCGGTCAAATATAATAGTTAAAATGGAAAGTATTAAAACTTTGAATGCCAAAGGCATACTATGGTTGCATAATAAATTTTTGTTGACTGAAACAACCAGAAGATATTCTCCAACTCTGGAACTATCCCTAGGAAGTATGGCACACACTACAACTCTTGAACTGCTTCTTAATATTTTATTCACTTTAACCTTTGTCTGTTTGAACATCTAAATTCTTGGCTGTCATGTTTCAAAGTCAATTTTTCTCAGTATTTTTTTTGTCCCATGGTCTTTTGTTAAGGAGGCTGAATTCTAGTGAATTCCAGTTTCTATCCTCAGCTCAACTGGCCAACGGGGTGTACCCCAATTAGCATCAATCTTTAATAGTAACAGAACATGCTCTAGAATGTGTTGATTTAGAGGACACACTTCTAATGTTCTCATGTTCCTGTTCTTTTTTTAAGATTCTGGTTAACTAGAAGTATCAGTGGATCTTCCTTAGTTAAATAAAGCTGCCCGATACTGAATATTATACGGACAATCATTAAAATCCTTTAAGCTGATATCTCTGTAAGGTGATACCCAAGGATTATTATACTATTAATGACATCCACTGCCTTCCCTTGGGTGTGTGAAAAACCACCAGGAAAGTGATGTGTCAAGTTAGAGAACTATAAATTGAATAGTATAAAATCTAACTTGCGCACTCAGTTGGTATGATCTGATATGGAGGCCATTGTATTATTAAGGAAGCTTCCAAACTTCAATTTTTCCCCAATTATCTTTTTTAAGATCTTAATTTCACTAAACTCACATTTAAAGTTAATTTAAAAAATAACCTTGAATGAACTTTTTTTCAATATGACTTCTGGCTTCCTTTCTTTAAGAGGTAATCTACCAAATGCCAGGCACTGTGCAAGGTCCTGCCTCATTAAGCAACGGATTCTTGAGAATTAATCCTGGGTTCAGATCTAGGCTCTGCCATTTATTTTATCTGTGTTGCCTCCCTGAGATCCAGACTTTCTACCTGTAAAATGGGAATACTACACCTAGATCGAAGGATCAAATGGGACACTAAATAGCCAAGTAACTAGCACAGCGCTTGGCACACTGTAATTGCTCCATAAAAGATAACAATTACTTTTTCACTCCAATGTTTATTGTTTATTGTAATATTTTTAACTTCACCCTTAATCTTTTTTCAATGACATCCACAGACCTTGATAATCCTTCAGAAGTTATTTTTTCAACTACCATTTGTGATGCTACCAGAGCATCACACTATGTGTCAGGTCCTGGGAATAGTCTACAGAAAGGAGGGCACACATAGCACCAATAATTACAAGTGCTACAAAAGGGACATGTGCCATGGAAGGCTGTAACTGGGGTACCTAATTCAAGGAAATCTTGAAAAAGTGCTATTTAAACAGACATGTGAAATAAATGAAGATATTAGGCAGACAAAAAAGTGAAGTGCTGCAGGCAATTGAACATATTTATAAAGTCCCAGAGGCAAAAGAGAACAGGGTGAGTTCAAGGAGCTGGAATATATGTTGTGCAACATTAATTGAAACAAGGACAACAAGGTAGCTGAGGACTAGACGTGAGCCTGGAGACGCAGGCAGGACCAAGTAAGGCAGGTGAGGCATTCTAAGACCTTAGCTAAGGGCAAAGGAAGCTACTGAGGGGTTTTATGGAACTCTGCAGTTTAAAAACTTCTGGGATGCAGAGTAGAGAATGGATGGGAGAGGGTTCAGACAATGCAGGGACACTAGTTAGTGGGCCTGCCTGAATTCCAAGTGCTCAGTGAGAAGAGCCCATACAAAAGCAGTAATAGTGCAACTTGAGAGAAACAGACCTGCTCAAGAACAGAAGTATAATCAACAAGATGTGCTCACAGATTGTGTGTGGGAAGGGTATTTTGGGAAGTCAGAATCTCAAAAACAAGAATGTGCTCAATAAAATGTATTTCTGTGCTTCATAAATGTAAAACATGGGCTTATTACATATTCCAAAAGCACACACAAAGTTAAAAATTTTAGGCTATGGGAGGATTTATTCCAATTCTGTGGGAGGCATGACACACAAAAGAAGTCTAATTTATTGAGTGTCAATGTTTCTGAAACCATTTTGCTGTGCTGACAGATATTCTGCATTACAGATCATCTATCAACTATCAAATGATCTTTAACATGTAGTATGTGAATTGCAAGTAAAGAGGGAGGTACTCTAGATAGAACACCTCTTCCTCTCAGGTGTCTTTTGGTTCTTAAAGGAAAACATAAGTTTCTACTTTTTTCCCTTCATAAATTAAGCAGGAGGATATAATGAGTAAACCAATATACGTAAAGTAAGTCTTGGCTGTCTGATACCCTCAGCAAATGAATATTTATCTGCTTCATGCTTGCATGCCTTCTCACTGAGCAGACCAAATGCAATTTATCCTATACTGAGGAGACATAGTTTGTGTTCCAACCATTTAGGTGCAAACTCTTTCACTCCCATAAACTGATCCCTCTTCATAGAAGGCCCTAGCTTACCCATCCTTCTTATCAGTTTAACTGTCACCTTTCCAGAAAGCTGTCTCCCACCTCCCCAACCTACCCCCATCATCCTCTCAATTTCCCAAACCCTGAACATGCCTCTACCATGACACAGTGAATGATAAATTTTGACCTACTTTTCTGTCTTCTTCATTTGAACACATGCCTTTTTAGGGCAAGGCAGTGACTTCTGATTCTGTATTCTTAAATGTTTCACACATTGACCCAGAAGCAAACTGTTCTCTTCAAGGTTTACTGATTTGTGTGCTCTTCCCCTTACATAAATGGCTTTAAATGAAGACAGTTTTGGTGTTGAATCCACCTTCAATACTTTTCTCTGACTTCCTCTCATCAAACAGCTGACACTTTGCAGAGTATATGCACACACGTGCTTTAAAAGCATATTCAACTAATTGAGAAAATGAACCTCTTGTTTTTGTATAATTACAGAAAGTAAAGCTTGACAGTACTTGGCTGCAGGAACATGGACTTTAAAAAGATGGAGAGACAGAAGACCACACCTGTTTTTCTACCCTCCTAATCATGCTGTTTGCTAACTCCATAGAGTTGGGATGAACTGTTAGATCTGTGTGCACAATGAGAGTAAAATGGCTCAAAATAAAGGCCCGAGAAGCTTTCCTATAAACCAGGTGTTCGATTTTTGCGATGCAAAGACAGCTCCAAGTATACTGGCATGTTCCATCTAAATTGGCTCATGCAGTCCCTACAGCCCTAGGCTGGAATGCCTCAACACTTCCTCTCGGCCCATTTACACACAGACTCAAATCCTTCCAGATCACACTCTCACCTCGTCCTCTTCTGAACTCCAAGCAGTTAGGAGTCTATAACAAAACATTTTAGTAAGTATTTACGCTCTGCCCAGTATTCAGAGCTACTCTCTGCTTGTGTCTAACCGAAGCATTCTCAACTACGGTTGGGAGAAACGTTGACCAAGTGCCCATCGCGAGGAAAGAAGTTATCAACCTATTTCAACACTCACGTGGCAGCGGGGAAACTAGTCAAACCTAGTTCATAAAGCCCAACCTTAGCTCGAAGGTGAAGAAATGTGACAGAGCCAACCTCTTATCTAATCAGAGGGCCTCCAATGGACGGATAACATCTCCTGGCAATCATGGGTGTGTGGGGGAAGGGGGAGTGCCAAACCTCAACAACAAACGGCTTTCCTCAGTCCTCCCACTTTCCAGTTCCCTTCTCAAGGTGGATACGACGAAGTCCAAAAGGATATGGCATCACCTTTGCCCTCTGACCCAGGAGCGGAGACTCACCAGTTTCATACTGCACTTCTGGATGTGCAACACCAGTTTACCCTTCTCCTCAAACCCAGAAAGCGTCTTCCGGTTCAATCTCCGCCACGGCCCGGCGAGAGCATCGCGGGACGTGGAGTCGGCCTTCCCGCGGCATCATGGGAAATGTAGTCCTCTTTCTATGCATCATGGGAACTGTGGTCATCTTTCCTTTTCCTCCTTTTCCTCTCGAAACGCCTCCTTCCCGTCAGCTCAAATTCATTCCGGCCGCCAATTCATTCTGTCTCTCCACCCCAGCGTGATATCATGTCCCTCCGCTGGGCCCGGGAAGCATGGCATTCTGGGACATGTAGTGCTCACGTCTCTGGCGCCCCTTTCCCCTCCTCCCTGTGGGAAGGCGGGTGGGCGCGGGCCTTTCCGGGAGTTGTAGTTCCCTGGGGCCTCCGGACGCGGCGTCCCGAGCTTTTACTCAAGGGAGGCAGGAACTACAACTCCCAGAGCCGCCCGGCTGCAGCAGGTGGGAGCGGGGCTGTTGCTATCAATATGGCGGTTGTCAGCCAGACAAAGACAGTCAGTCGGCTGTGATTGAGACAAGGGAGGTTTTCAGGGGGAGACTGGGAGATAGGGGCCTCCCCTCCCCCTTCTCCTCTTCCTGTGTCGGCCTCAACCCCTCCCCAGTCCCTTCCCGACGGGCGCCCCACGCGGAAGACAGCCCTCCCCCTCCCGTTTCCCCTCCTCCCCGCCTCAGCCCTTCGTGCTGGGACGTTGGGGAGGGGGCTGTGCCGGGCGCGGAGAACTCCGCGAGGATCGAAGGTGAGTCGTGCGGTTTTGTAGCCGGACTACCCCAAGTCTCTTTCCTCACTTGTTTCTCTTTACTTTTTTTTTTTTGGAGGGGTTTTGGGGAGAAAGTGAGTGAGCTGGAGACGGGTCTCGTAAGCGGCCCGATGGAGAGGAGGGAAGGAAGAGGGGGGCTCCCGAGAGGGTAGCCCGGGCGCAGGGCATGGGGTGGGGCGGGTCGTAGGGGGCGGTCGTCGAAAGGCGTCGGCTGCCCCCCGGCTCTTGCTCCCGGTTTCCTCCACTCTGGGCGGAAGGTTTGAATCCTGGAGGTGGGGTCTCCGGCTCGGAGTTGGGGAAGCCGCGCGGTGGACCGGAGGTGTGTGGGTTTGTTTGGGGGTGTGTAACTGTTCGGAACTGTGTGACGCGTGCTTGTGGGATGCGGCCGCCTGGAATAAATGTCTACAGAGAGGAAGTTCGGGAGCCGGAGTGCCGGCTCTTCGCTGGGCCTGGGCGGGGGCCGTGCGTGAGCTGCGGGTCCTGGACCTCCGGGCCGGCGGCGCGGTGCGGGGCGGCGGGGGTCAGCGGCTCGTCCGGGTCCCGCCGGCCGCTGGCGCCCCGCTCCCCGCCCCCGCCCCCGCCCCCTCCCCGGGGCCGGTCTCCACCCCACACTCCGGGCCGGAGAATTTTAGAGCTGGGGTGGTGTCGAGGTGGATTTTTGCTTCCTGAAGTCGAGAGGTAGGTGAAAAAGCAAAAGTGTTCTTAATATTTGATTCCGGAACCGTGTTTTGGTTACACTGTTGGGGCTGCTTTGAAAGGAGTCCTCCACCCACCCTCACCCCGAAACAGTAGGGAACGGGAGCTCGTCGTGTATGTTGTGAAATAGACGAAACGTTATTACTTAAGATTCGGGGGCGTCGTGGGGTGGGGGTCGGGAGTGCTGACATGTGTATGCGTCTCTTGTGTGTCCCCTGAAGGCACAGAATGACTTGTGTATGTTGAGAGAGGAAGACTTGTTTTCGTAGTAGGAAAACCTGGGAAATTATTTGGGGGTTGGGGGGAGTCTCTGAAGGGCGCTGCTTGTGTTCTTTTCTTCTACCCCACCCTGTTCCGTCTCGCTTGTCTGAAAGCTGGTGTGGAAGAGTGAGGGAGCATTGGGTGAGTGAAGGGCAGAATGCAATTGACATTAAAGATACTCTACTATGTGAAGTTGAACGATATAAAGTGATTGCTGTTTTTATTTCCCTGAAGCTTTAAAAACCTTTATCATTTATTAGTGTGGAGTGATGTGACTGGCTCATTTCTCTGGGATCCTGCAGATACAGAAACCTCTTCCTTCACCTCCTTCCTTCCTTCAGTCTTTCCTTTTTTTTCTTGGCATGGTACATTTCTCTTCCTGGATGGACATAATGTCTCCTGTGCGTGTTTATTTCGTTTGTACTAATATGGTTGTGCTTTTTGTGGTTTTACTATAAAAATGCATCATTAGATGGAAAGGACCTGCATTTGTTTTTATTTTGCATGTATGCCACAGGTAATTACCTCATCAGGATTACAGGGCTTTGCATGAAACTCATCCTAAAATCGTACAACTGTGTTGTTAGGGGTAGTTCAGTTATGTTCGTTAAGTCAAGTCTAGAAAATTTGAATTCTGTTTTTTTTTTTGTGAAGTTTCAATTACAGTTATAAAGAGAAGAAAATTGCAACATCTCTTCTCACAGTCTTTAATATTTAATACCATTACACCAGGAGAATTTAAGAGCATGTATTTTGTACTTCCTTCAGTTTGAAATACAAGGTTTTCAATAACCCTTCTTCATCCATTACAGTTTTTTAGTATAAGGGACTTTTAAATAACTGAAGAAATTGCCCAGTTGCTCTCTGGACTGTTGAGAATTTAATGTATTTACATATTTGGCTCCAAACTTATCAATTCTTGAACCTATCAGTGAAGGACCTTAGATTCTATAACTACTGAAAGTCACATGAAGTATATAGTTTTGTGGTATGTTTTATAACCTTTGATTTCAAATTTCTGCAGTTGGTCATTCACACAGATAAGCTGAATATAAGTGTGAGGTAGCATATATATTCATATTGACCTGAATAGAAAAAAAAAAGAATATCTCCTAACACTTGAATTTAGAATATAAAATATGTTGATACAAAGCCAAGCCCTTAGTTTGTTTATAGACTAGTATTTTCAGAATTATTTGTTTTTGCCTTCTATCTGAACCTGAAATACTACTTTGCAAAAACTGGAGAAAAATCCAGCATAATTTACATTATAAGGTAAATTTGTGCTGAAAGATAATTCTGTTAGATGTAGTTTTAAGATGTTCAATACTTATTTTAGAAATATAAAACTAAAATATTAAGAGTTGGAAAAATATAAGAGTATCTTCTGCCCATCCTAACCTCAGATTTTATTTTTTTGTTCATTTTTCTTCTATGGAAATGCAAAGTTGCTGATAGGGAAAAGCTATCATTAAACTTTTTTGGACTAGTAGTCTGGCTGAAATCATTAGAAGTAAACCAGATGTATTCCTTGCATTCACTGGGGGTGATTCTGTCGCATTTTAAGCACTGAGCATTAAAATGATGTAAAGCCTCTACTGCAGGTTAAAGCATAAAACATTCTCAGCATGTGGAAGTCATATGGTTTATGAAAAAAATAGAAAATCAGGGCATTGGTGCCTGTCCAGCTTAAAATTTCATCTCGTAACTGTGAAAGACACATTTATTTTAATATGATTTCGTCTAAAAATGTTGCCTATATTGCCAATCTGTTGCTAGTTTAGTGCCCTGCAAATGGTGAATACTGTGGTTAAAATGTGCACGAAAGAGCCTTTGGGGGTCAGCTTTATGTTGAATGTCTTCAGTGGGGCTTTATTTTCACTGCTTTATCAACAGATTTCATTCTTGTAAGAACTCCTTAGCTAAAGCATCAGTAACATAAACTTAATAGCTTGGTATTGATAAGTTAAAAAATATAATGCAACAAATCTCTCATTGTTTGATCTTCTAAAAAGTAGAAATAACCAATTTATGGCATTTTTTTGTGGCAAGTATTGATTGGAATGGCATTGTTTGTTTCAGTAGATGTTGAACACATTGGGAATAGTTAATGCTTAATTTATTCACTTTGGGGATTTTGTATGTTACATTCAGGCCATCCCACTTTTAATGTTTCAGGAAGCTTCTGTGTTTGCTGTAAAACCACGTTTGTTTTTCCTGTTCACTTTGCAGCTCTTATTTCTATTATTTTTGTTTGCATATCTTTAAACTTGAATCATTTCTCTTGGGTATTAGAAATTTATCCTAGGATGCCATTTTTTTTGTAAATGAAAATTGGTGTATGGTGTACTATTCAACTTTTAAAAATGTGATGCATTTATAGATAAACTTCAAAGTGCTCAGTAAAAACACATTGGGTTTGTTTGTTTTGTGAACCTGCTTTACTTAGGGCTTTTTTAGCTGTCAGAATTAATTTTATAGCACCCCTTGCTTTTGGCTAGATTTTTCTCTTAACTTTTTTTTTGTTTGTTTGCTTTTACTTCTTAACTGTTTTTACTTCTCAATTTATTAGAACTTTATAGAAAAATCGTTAGGAGTGGAAATCACAGCTTGTCTACAGTGTCCTGTAGGTACATTCACATATGCACGCACATATATAAAACATCTTTATGTTTGTTTATATATGAAATTGTTATATATCTATCAGACATGCAGTCCGTAAGGAAGGAACCACGAATAACAGGAGACTCTAAGCATAACTGGCTTATGCTGGAAACCAGAGTAACCAGTAACCATCATTACATGCTGCCCACATTTTAGAAGCTACGGAGATTTTCATTATTATTGTAAACCATTATTAAATAAATTTGTAATTTATTTAATAAACCAATTTTAACAGATTCTGCCAAAATCTTACTTCTCTCATAATGGAAGCTATTGGTATTGAAATTTTTCTTGAAATAATAGTAATATGTGACTCATGCCTGAATATAAGCTGTCCGCCTAGATGACCCTTCCTGGTCTCAGGCCCATCATAAGTACACAGTAGAGATTGTTCCTAGTGATTATTTGATGTATAGCTTTTAGTTAGAATCCAGTGCTTTAGATGACTTGTTTTTCTTGATCTTAAGATGAAACAAGTAGGAAATTTACTATAACATTGTCTTGGACACTTTCCAAGAGCATTGGTTACTGGAAGGCCCTGGCTTTAACATAGTTTACCCCTAATAGTGGCCATAAGGTTGAAATTACAGTAAGCTTTTCCAATGGTTATTATAATCATAATGCAGTATTTTACAGATCCTTGACTTGGGCTGTAAGGATAGTGATTTTTGTTTATTTGTTTTACATTTACATTTACAAAGGAGAAAAAAGCCCAACAGTCAAGTTAGCTTTGAAGTTATGAGTTACTTTTTCTGAATCTTAAAAAATGTGTCCACAGACCCCTCCTTATAAGTGATAAAATGATTCTAATCCGTTCAAAGGGAATTTAAGTTTTTCTTAGATTTAGAGTGATTAGGATAAGAATGTTTACTAAATTCCACATATTCTCTGTAGCTTTGTCAATCTTACATTCAGTGATGGTCTGCATGTGGTTTGTCAAAAACATTTAATAGCTGTCTTTACTGTATGCATATTAAACAATTAGTGTGGAATTGCAAAGTGGCAGTACTTTTAATGTATATAGTTGCATTTTTCAAAGAGGGGAGAGTCTCTTGGCTTATTCTTGTGGCTGTTGCAGAAATGAGGATGATTTACGACTAAACCTATCTGCTTAAGGATTTTGATTAAGTAGTAGCATAATTAAAATGTACAGCTGCTGGGCTGGGCCTAGTCCTTCAAGCCTTGGGATCATCCTCACTCTCCCCATCCGATTATGAAGTCAAGTTGGTTTTATACCCTTTTTATCTATCTATTCCCTTCTTTTCCTTCTGTTGCCCTTCTCTTTTAATTCAGGGCTTCATAGTTTCTGTCTTGTCACATCAGCTTCTTAACTAATCTTTCTGCTTTCAGTGCTTTTC